AAAGAAAGAAAGAAAGAAAGAAAGAAAGAAAGAAAGAAAGAAAGAAAGAAAGAAAGAAAGAGAAAGAAAGAAAGAAGAGAGAGAATCTGAGGCAAAGAGAAATTAAGTCATGGTTCTTGACCACAAGGAACAAAGAGTCTACAAAATGTACCTATGCCAATTTCCTGTCTCCAGCGTTGACCACAATTAAGCCACACTGCACAAACTCCAACCAAGCTTCTGACCTTCCTTCCCAAGAGAAAATAGAAAAATAAAAAGCATGTCCATGGTATATGAAATGAGCAATATATGAAGGGTCAGGAGATGATATTATTGCTCTTGCTGTGCCACTAACAAGCTAAGTCATGTAGGACTGGATTGGTTGTATTAGCCTTGGTCTCCTAAAAAGCAAAATAAAGACAGGTACATGGAGAAGGGTGGAAAGGAAGAAGGATTAGAAAATCTCTGAGGCCCCCTTCTTCATAGGTCATCATCTGATAGGGTAAGAAATGGTGTTTCCGTCATGAATTCCCTTCCTTTTAAGTTATATTTACAAAATGCCTGTCATGTAATGGGCATTGTGCCAGATACGTAGGATATCTCTCGTTTAATCCTCACAAATATCCTGCAAAGTAGATACTATCCTCATTTTTTATGTTAGGAAGTAGAGGCCCTGTTGGTATAAGTAACTTAGCTTCAGACACTGAGCTAGGACTTGGAGGAGCCAGGATTCACACCTGGGTTTACCTGACTTCAGAATCTACGGTCCTCCTAACTGTGCTATACGCCTGGGCCTTGGATGAACCCCTATGGAATGCTTTTAACTAACTTTAACTGTCATGATATCTACTTAAGTTTCGGAATGAAAGACACCCCATATTTTAAAATAAATCTGTGGGGGAAGGAGTTTGAAACTTTTTCAACTAGAATTTAAGCCCAAGATACACTCATGAATGGATTGGCTTTTCTGGGGAAGAATGACAAGCAATTTTAGAGAATGCATCTCAACGACAGAGCACATTAAATTGTTGCTGTTTTTTCCTCCAGAAAAGAAAACTGGAGGAAAGAAAATGGAAGAAGGGATGGACCTTGAAATGACTGACCTGCTGAAAAAAAAAAATTAAGAGTGGAGACAGCAGCATTACAATCTTGACATTAGTCCCATATGGGTTATTACTCTTGATATCATTATAGCTAAACGGAATGAAAATAGAAGGGGGAGAAAGATCTCAGTGGGTATTGCAATTTAAATTTGCCTTGTAAGCTAATACTGTATATTTAGAGACTGAGCAGACAGGGTGGTTGGTGGCTCAAGAGTATGTGCAGGGGCTGCTCTGCCAGCTAACCAAAGCAGACATTCATTAGAGCAAAATGTAGATTTCCATTTCTTGGCATCTGACATGCGCTCTTTCCTTGGAAAGAAATGTCAATTTGGCCAAAAGTGTGAAACCTACAATAAAAGCACTGGGACTGTGGATTTCATCTAGTCTGCACATTCCCACCTCTTTTCTTTCCTACTGTGAAAATCCAGTTGAGACTCAGGGTGCTTCGTGGAGAGATGGCAGAGGAACTGATTAGGATATAGAATCCTAAAAGGGGAGAAGGGGTTGGAAGAGGTGAGATTGGGATCCCAAATTCCTATTTTCTTTTGGCTTTCAATTACCATTTTCTCTTGCCCTAAGACTGCCCGACACAAGAAACCAACCACAATTACTGTTTTGCACTGAGCTCTGAACAATGGCAGCTTCCAAATCCCTGGCATCGCCTGCTAGCTCTGCAAGTGTGGGGTGCTCATCCGCGGAGTCTGCGGGTAGCATGAGCAAAACTCCGGCTCCTGAGGCCCGGCAAGGAAGAGGCCTCCCCTGCTTTAAAATTTCACTATGTTTATTTCTTTTGTTCAATAGACTGGAAAGACTATGACGACAGAGAGCCCAGACACAAGGGACAGAGTGAAGTCTTGGAAGGTCTGCTGCAGCAGGTCCGAGCCCTTCATCAGCATTACAGTTGCCGGGGTAAGGATAAAAATCTGTGCTGGGCCATCAACTGAGGTCTCAGTGGCGCCGGTAATTTTAGCAGTTTCCTAACTGGGTCATACCTTCTCATTCATCAGGGAGAGAGATATTAATATTTGTACATCTGGAATCACTTTACAGCACTATCTTGCTTTAACCCTTCAGAAGAGACTTCCCTCTCCTTCTGTCCCTTCCTTTCCCTCTCCCTCTCTCCATATGAACGGTTTGAAAACAAGCACAAGAAAAAAAACAGCTGCCCTGAGTTCCCTTCTCTAGGAATTGTCCCTTCACAAGACTCCTCAGTGGGGTTAACTCTTTGGGATATTCCCCCAAAAGCATTTTGCCTCCAAGGAAAATCCCCTGAGTTTCCCTGTGGGAGCCCAACCAATTATAATAACAACAATAATAGTAATAAACCTCCAGATCTATTAATAATATAGTTTACAATTAAATTTCACATCCAGTATCTCATTTTTATCCTCACTTTGGCAATCACCACTGAGGCTAAGTGGCGTTCCCCAAGGTCACAATGCCAGGAAAAGACAGAGTCAGGTCTCCAAGCTGGATTTTTCTGGTTCTAAGTCCAGTCTTCCTGACACACTTCATGTTTGTCTCCCACCCTTACATCAGGACTGGGCACTAAACTGTAACCTCATCCTGAATTTTAATCTTCCTCTGTACCACTGCTCACAGGAAAGTAGAGCACATATTCCCTAGACTTTCACCAGTTACACCCAGAGAATCTCTGAGAAGCATTTAAAAGCTTCTTTTCTACTTGGGCTGTTCAATTGGGACAGGGTCAGACTTCTGATCTGTGTAACAATTTGTGGAAGAGGCACTTAGTTTTATGTGGAGAATTAAAGCCTCCGTAAAGTTTTCATTTTCCATGCCCCCATCAGATCTCTAACTACATTGTGCTCTGTAAACTTAGGGCACTGCTGGAACAGCTGGGTAAGAAATCCACTCTTGTGGAGGATTTCTTGAGCCCAGGAGTTCAAGGCTGCACTGAGTTATGATCATGCCACTGTGCTCCAGCCTGGGTAACAGGGCAAGACTCTGTCTCTAAGAATAACAAATTTTTAAAAGAAAAAACAAATCCACCATTGAAACTAAGAGATGCTAGTTGAGTTTGAGCTTGCTATAGAGAAACCACACTGAAGATTAGCAAAAGGTTGTTCTCAGTTGCTATATAGCTATCACAATAGGACCCTTCAGCAATTTTGGCTCCAGCTAGAAATGAGGACAAGTGTTTGCAAGAAAATAATATTCTTCTAATGACTGATTCATTAGGATATGTAAATACACATGGAGTAGTTCTGAAACCCAAGTGCGATTTCCATTCCCAGACCTCTAAGAAGTCTTTACCCAGACCAAGACCATCAGCATTCCACACTGACCAAAATCTGCTTAGTTCTTGGTTATTGAGGGGCTCCTTTAATCAGGCCAGTTGTTACCAAAGCTCCTTTCTCATCTTCTGACTCTCCATCACATCCCTGCCCATTGGTTCCTGTATGACAGCAAAGGTAACAAAGTAAGTGGACAGATGATTCTTGGAAATTCATAAGCCACTGTGTGTTTGGTCTTGATCAGAGAGGAGAAAACTGAAATTACTCATGAGAATGGGAGATTTTTACAATATTGTCTGAGGATTCATGCTCTCCCCATTACCACTGGACTCCTATCTAATAATCAAGAAATGATTGTCTAGATGGCCAAATTTTTTCTATAGTTTCCATCTAACTTCTGTCATATAGATGCTTTTTTCTCAGAGGAATGTAAATATACACACAATATCAAGAAAGATTTAAGTATGGCATAAGGTAGAACTTTCCAAAAAAGAAGAATATATTTTATAGGGAATATACTCTGGACACTTAAACAGCACTCAAAATATGTTCCAAAGATCAGTGGTCCTATAATATGCTCAACTAAGAAAGGTTCTCTTGTCAGGTAAGTTTTGGAAATGTTAAATTCTACATCCTTCTCTCTTAGAAACTTAAAATATACATTAGAATATTAAAGACTCTAATACAGAGACATATTACATTTGCTTAACCAAGCATTTTTCAAATTTCTTGAGCTGTGTAAAACTTTTTCACAGTATTAGTATTCCAAAGCACAAATTTTGGGAAATGCTGACTTATGATATGCCAAATAAATTACCTCACACACACACAGTAAAAAATGAATCTAAGATGATTTAACATAACCCTAAGTGCAAAAGGATAATGTAAGTATTGCTTACAGAGAATTATAAAACTGTTATTATTATTACAAAATTTTTATTTAAAATATTCAAATACATTGAAATACTACATGGTTTATTGGGGACATAAACTTTTACCAACTTTACAATTAGAAAAAGTAATTATTTCAGATTCCAATTCTATCACTTACAAGCTGTACATTCTTGGGAAAAGCATTTCACCACTCTGATCCACAGCTTCTTCATCAGCAAAGTCAGGATAATATTATCTATCTTGTTACAGGATTGCTATGAAGAGTAAATTAGGTACATTAAATTCACCTGACACAGTGTCTTTCCCTGGCAAACTATAGCTTATTTTTCTCCCATTGAGATGGGGGCCACTGTCCTGTCTCAGCACTTTATGGATATATCCTAGAATTGAAGTGTAATTGGTGACTGTACTGTAATGACCCTGTAATGACTCACTAAATATACAGCATATTCCAAATATGGGAGTAATAATAAAAATCACTTCTTCTACTAACATCCTGAATAGGAAGTACCAACATCTACATTAATGTCTAAATTAGCATTTTGGCTAAAGAACTGGCCGAAGCTGATCTGCATGCTTAGTATTGGGATGAAAATTCAAGAGAGATACTAAGCAAGCTTCATTGTTCACAATGTTAGTACACTGATGTACATAATGAATTACAATATTAAAACAACAATCATGTTTATAGCAATATCCTATAGGGATGAATTTATGTTATCCAATTATTCAACTTACAAAACAAAATTAACTGAAACCCTGCCTACTATGTAATTTGTAGGTCACATAGTAGGGGCTGGACATGCCAACGTGAATGAAGTAAACTCCTATGCTCCATGCACTTACAAGCTAGGGAACTGCTGCATTCAGAGTACAGAAAACAAACTTTTGCTCCAGAGCTCCAAACCAAGCAGAGAAGTCCAATATAGAAACCACAAGGCTCTCAGGAGAAAAGCTAGTTTAGACCATGTGTCAGTCAAGGTGAGCCCTACTATGCTACAGTAACCAAATGATTCCCCAAACCTTTATTTCTCTCTCATGCTATGCATTTACCACTGGTCACCTGGGAGTTCTCCTTCTGTGTTGTTATCATCCTCTCTCTGGAAATATTTGCTAGCAACCATCGGAGATGGGAAAGCAACTCTTGAAGGTCTCATATGGGCAAGACTTTCTGCATGTTATTACACCCAAAACTCATTGGCCAGAGGTGGTCACATGGCCCCATCCAACCACGAGGATGCCAAAGTACAGCTTTGCCATGTGACCAGACCTAGACTATTTAATGCTTCCATGGGCCCTTTTCCCAACTAACAGTAACATCTCTTACTTTTCTCTTTTTACTTTTAGTCTGATTTTTTTAGTTTAATTTTCATTTTTATGTAAGTTACATGTAACTAGAAGGTGTCTCTGAAGCTAGACTGCCTGAGTTCAAATGTGGGCTGAGCTTTTACTTTTACTGGCTGTGTGACCTTGAGTAGACTGCCTAAACAGCTCTGTGCTTCATTTCTCTCATGTGTAAAATGCAGATAAAAATTCTATGTACCTCATTCATTCATTGTATAAGGATTAAATGACTTAAGTAAAGCACTTAAAACAGTTTTATTATTTTGATAAAAGCAATTTCTTTCTTCCTGCATTTTTTCCTCCCCAAAGATAATCTCTTAACCTTTAGCTAATTCTTTTAGTATTTTCCCCATATCTCTAAATAACATACTTACATTTCTAATTATGTTTTTAAATTTTAGTCATTACCTAACTAAATAAAGTAATGCTGCATCTCTTTTTACTCCACCCCTCCCTTATGTGCATGCATAATTCCTATCTTCTCATCCTAATATATGTATACTGAATTTGAGTAAGATTAGTATTTACTGTTTACATTATTATGACAATTAAATTATATGATTATTTTCCTTTCCTGGATAGCTTTTTGTTTTCTCTGTAGTTAATAGTCATTTATTGTACATTTGCTTGTTTTTCTATATGGTTAGGATAATCCCCAAACTATTATCCAGTTGGATAAGTCTTCTTTCTATATAATGAGATGCTTTAGGTATTTCTATTGCATCTTCATAAGGAATCTTTTCGAAGGGTCCTCTGTTCTGCTGCAGTCTAGACTGGTCACTGGTTGCCTAGTGTACAACAGTCACCCTTGGATTTCCATTTACCACCATATTAAGGACTCTTCTTACCACTCAAAAAGATATTGGGTTCCATCTTTTTGTATTGCATGGTGGAGTTTCCCCCAGTAGCATTTTGAAGGGGTGCTTGGAAGCTAATTTTTGGAGACATTGTGTATCTAAAGACATATTTATTTTACTTAACATTTATTCAAGGTCTTGGATGAGTATAGAATTCTTGGTTGAAATCATTTTTTTTTTTCCTATTTTGAAGGTATTGTTTCATTGCTTTCCAGCTTTCAGGGCTAAGTCTGATGTCATTCTAATTCAAGAGGTTCTATATGAAAACTTTTTCTCCCCTCTCTGGAAGGTTTTAAGTTTTCTTTTGACTCTGATGTTCTAAAATTTCACAGTGATGTACTAAGGCATTTTTTGTTTGTTATATTGGGCACCCGAAAAGTCCTTTCAACATGAAAACTTATACCCTTCAATTGTAAGACGTTTTCTTAAATTACTTCATTAAGTATTTCTTCGCATTCATTTTCTCTCCTCTATCTTACTAGAACTCTTGTTATTCAGATGTTGGATTGCCTACATTCGTCCTTTAATTTTCTTTTCTTTTTTTATTCTACTTTCCATCCTTATATCCTCCTGCCTTACTTTCTTGGAGATTTCATCAGCTTTAATTGCTAAGCCTTCTATTGGGTTTCTCAGATTTGACAACATGTTTTTAATTGCCAATGCTCTCTTTTGTCCTCTGGTTCTTTTTATAAGGATACAAGTCTTCTCTTACCTCTCAGACTATTAATGATAGTCTTTGTTTCATTTTGTATTTTCTTTTCACAGAATAATCTTTCTTTTCTGTAAGTTGCTCTTTTGTTTACTTACTTTTGGCCTTGGTATTTCATGTTAGGTGCTTTACTCAACTGCCTGGTGATCCTTGAATATATGCCTAGATTTCAGAGAAGGGAAATCAATAGCCATTGGGAAGCTCTGAGCACACACATAGGGCTCTTGACTTACAGGATTCATTGTAGGGTGACCTGGCACCACCTTTCCATTGGGATATCACCAATGTCAGAATCTTTGGGTATGCTCTCTTAGGCTGATCAAGTACTCCACAGAAGTTTCTTCCAATGTCCTACCTGGAAGGTGTAAGTTTCGGTATGAGTGTTCTGAGAACCCAATAGGGAAATATTATGTATAAAATGTTATGGATAAATCCCTCATTTTGGGTACACTATCACCAGCACCAGCACTCCATTTTCAACACTGCCTGATGTCTCTCACTCCAGAGATGTCTGTTGTTGGTTTGTTTGGTTGGTTCGTTGGTTGGTTAGTTGGTTGGTTTTTTGTTTGTTTGTTGATTTCCAGAGAACAAGCCACTAGCTTTCTTTTAGAGTGGGGAAGAGGTATTTGTCCAGTCACATAGTAGAGGGGTAGATTGAGAAGTCTAACTACTTTTTGAACAGACTTCTACAAATCCTCCTTGTTTTTAGCTCACACTCACCCCTCACTTCCAGAAGTCCATGGAGACCATCGAGTGAGCCAGATCACTTCTGAGCTTTCTCCACTGCTGGCTTCAACTTCATCTGTCCCAAGTCTTACATCTATCTATCCATCTGCTTTCCAGCTACTGAAATACATGCTTTTGTCTCCTTTCCCATCTCTTTGTCTTTAAAAGTTTCTGTTGTTTCCTTTTTTTCTTAATTTCTACTCTGCTTTTAGTGAGGCTTGGGGAAAAGGTAGTGTGTAGTGAACATGTTCACTCCGCCATATGAAGTCCCAGCAGCATCATGTTCAAGCAGCCAAACTCACGTTCAAGTCAGAAAAAAGAATGATGTTGCTTTGTTCTGCAAAGAATAACCATTAACAACATAAGCTTGAAACTGGCATGAATGCTTGTGGCAGTCATCCCTTCCTACATAATCATAGCCAAAGCAACACTGGCCCTCAGTCAAATGCCACTTGCCCAGGTTTCTATGCCTACCAGCAGTGATAGGGACCATATTCCCATCTCCAGTGACATATCTGTCAGCAGTCTGGTGGTCATACCAACAACCTCAGCTTCCCTTCATTACATAGAATATGAGAGTTAAAACCAGTGGTTATGTAGTCCAGCTTCATGAACTATTATTTGCAAAGACTGTAATAGGAAGCATAGTTAAGTCTCTATCTTTATTAGTACAGGCTCCATGTTATAAACAGAACTGCAGAGCCTCATGCATAGTAGTGCCTCAATGAATATTTGTGCAATGAGTGAATGTCTGTTTTCCCAGGTACTGAATTTTTGATCCTGGGCAATTCATTTCACTTCTCAGCCTCAGTTTCTTCTTCTGAATAATGAGAATGATGATCATCATACCCGTCCCTACACCTATTTTTGTAAACCAACATACACAATGAAGAAAAAAAACCATCCCAGAATGTTAGCAGTGGTTATGCAGAGGTGGGGTTTTGCTCTCTTTTTTTCTATTCTCCAGACTTTCTGTAATGTGCTTATATTAATTTCATAATGGAAAAAAATTAATGGAATATGTAGACTTACAAGGAAAGCTTTGCAAACATTGAGAATCGTATGAATATTAAAAGGCAATTGCAGGAGTCGGGAGAAGGACAAACAAGTTGATTCCATGTCTTTTTATCCTACTTTAAAATAAATCAAATGCTTCGAAGCAAAGAGTATCAACAAAACACCTAAGTGGTTTCTTCTGTAGTTATAAATACTACTTACCTCCAGCATTTCTGAGAAGTTGTTCATTGAGTTAACCACTGGCATCTCAAGATACAAGAGCTTCTTATAGGAATGAATGAGCAGAATCCCTACATGAACCTGAGGATAAGTAACACTAAAGGGACGGGGGAGGGGAAGGCAGGAAGGAAGGAAAATGGAAATGGGAGTGTTGATCTGCCCCGTGGAATTCATACTGTATTTTTTTAAATATATTCCAGAAAGTTCAAAATTACAAACCACGGGCCGCAAACAGTCAGTCTCAAGGAGCCTGAAGCACCTGTTCCATTCCTCAAACAAGTTTGTGAAGACCTTAAAACGGTGGGTTCTGTGTAATTTTTTCAGGAATGCACTGGTTTTGATTCTGAGTGGAAACTTGGTAGAAATTTCTTTTTTGTGTTCAAAAGAATAAAGTTTACTTTTCTCCTGAGAATTTGTGCAAGACAGTAATTTTTCTGAGCTGTAACTGGTGAACTTGTGATGCTTAACAGGAATATGTTCCTAAGTATATGTTAAATACATCTTTTATCATGTCCCCCCAAAAAATTACTTTTCCAAGATGGTTGAGGACAATGCTTTTATTTTCCTTTTTCTTTTTAGGGGACTCTACATAGCCGTTATATTTTATTACAAAGACAATATGTTAGTCACCAATGAAGATCAAGTACCAATTGTTGAAATAGATGACTCTCACACCAGTTCCATTACACAAGATTTTCTATGGTTCACGAAGGTATGCTAAGCTCTGATTTCATTTTTCCCCACTTTGTACTAATATTACTGCACATAAATCTCTGAAACATTAGTTGAGGGGTCTCCAGCGATCAAAGTTTTGGGGTAGAAATAAAGTACCTCAAAGGTCCTTTTCAGCCCTAGTACGCCCTATCTCATAAAAAAAAAAAAAAAAAAAAAAAAAAAAAAAAAACACCAAAGTAACATGTACACTACATTTTCAAAGCAAAGAGGCTTGCATCCCGTCACATTGTGTCTCCACTATTCTGAGTTATGGGATCATTTGGCAAAGACTAAAATGTGGATCTGACTGTTTCATTAGCATTCAGATCTTTTTCCAACTGGACAGAGATCAAAAACTTGTTTCGTGTGTGTCTGAAAATGGACCGGAGAACAAACATCAGGGGTCAGGTTTCTTTCTCCCTGCTTTGCTTTGATGCCACAACCTAAATCATGTACTGGCTTGGACGATGAGATGACCGTGTGCCTTCTTTTGCAGCTGTCTTGTATGTGGGAAGATATAAGGTGGTTGAGGCAAAGCGTACCAATCTCCTCATCCTCATCCACGGTGCTGCAAACTCGGCAGAAGATGCTCGCAGCAACAGCACAGCTACAGGTAAGGGACCAGGCTTCAACCCAGATCTGCCCCCAAAATTTTTTTAATGTGGACAATTCAGTTACCAGTCCCACCCAGAAAGGAAAAGGGTGGGCTCCCTTCTCTTTCAGACCCCTAAGAATATAAAGCTTTCTAAGTTTTCTTGGACAATTGGAGCTGCATACCTGTACGTATGCAGGTTTCATGTAGGAAACATGTACCTTTAGCAGTCTCCTCCAGGTGAGTCTCTTTTGAGCAGTGTATAGGAGTAACTCATTAAGCAAGGAGTAAGGAGGCTTGAGTTCTAGATTTGATATTAATCAGCCAACTCATTTATCCTCTCTGAGCCCCAGTTTCATCATTTGCAAAAGAAGAGAAGTGTGATGAGATCACTTGAAGGGCCATTGCTGCTCTGGCATCCTGTGCATTGATGAGTATATGGGGGTGGAAAAAAGAGATGAGCAGATATTTTGAGCAGTTTCTTGGTGTGATGTTTTTGATAAAGCATAAACATGTTTGCTTATTTATTAAAAAACAAACATAAAGCAACTCTTAAAAGATTATCTTTAAGCCTGAATTTATTCATCCTTCTGTATTGTCAGTCACATCAGATCAAGTCGCCAATCTTTGTAAGTTACAGAGCTTCTCCTAGAAGCAGCATTAAATACTAAACAAGATTTTCTGGGTTTTCCTCTTACTGTTTCCTGGCATTAAGTGAATTTGTGGATCTTAGCACATAAAAAATATCTGCTACATGGAATTAGGGTCATTAAGAGATCACTGAGCCTTTATCAGTAATGGGTATCCAACTACAAATCTGTCAGTTATATCAACCCCAGAAATATGCATAACAGGAATTGATGTAAGCTGTGTTTGGCCAGTCCATGTAGGTCACAGCATAAAACTAAGGTCATAATAACAACAACAAAAAAATTCTAAAGCTTTTCCCCCACTTGCAATTATAGGAATGTCATTTCTTGAACCCCCACAATAATAACAATTCAACTTCCTGCAATAATATTGTGTTGCTATTATAATTAATTCAGAAATGTAAGTTTTGCTCCTCTGTGATATATTCCATTACATAGGTAGTTTGCTGCTTTGTATGCTCAGTGAGATTTTAGCAAGCAGTGCTCTTCCTTTCAACTCACTCTGTTTTTGTTTGTTTTGGTTTGGTTTGGTTTGGTTTGGTTTGGTTTGGTTTGGTTTGAGATGGAATCTCACTCTGTCGCACAGGCTGGAGTGCAGTGGCGTGATCTCGGCTCACTGCAACCTCTGCCTCCTGGGTTCAAGCAATTCTCCTGCCTCAGCCTCCCAAGTAGCTAGGATTACAGGCATCCACCACCATGCCTGGCTAATTTTTGTATTTTTACTAGACACGGAGTTTCATCGTGTGGGTCAGGCTGGTCTCCAATTCCTGACCTCAAGTGATCCACCTGCCTTGGCCTCCCAAAGTGCTGGGAGTACAGGCATGAACCACTGCACCCGGTCCCATCTCACTCATGATTGCAGAATCTTCTCTTCCAACTCAAGAAGCAGTTCTTGGAGCAGACCATGATGACTGTGTTGAATTCAAAGTGCCTCTTTTGTTCATCACTGACCTACTTGAGTTGCACCATGCCACTCCACCTCATGCTACACTTTCTTTAGGACAAAATACATGCCCAAGAGACTCAGACTCCTTAGTGGACCCTCCCATCACCCTACCATACAGCCCAGACATGCCTGGACCACAGACTGAACAACTTTAGAATTTCAAGGGGGACTCTTTATTATGTGTTTATTGGAGGCTTCCTAGAACTTTCATCCGATATCAGTAACATGAAAAGGATCAGGCTGTTACAAGTCAGTGCAGTCAGATGCTGAGTGATGCAGTGACCAGTGTGACCCTACTCAGCTACTCCCATTACAATAGCTTTTAGTCTTCCTCAGTCTCCAAATCTATTGACCCCACCACTTTTCATAAAGCATCAGCCCACTTCTGAAGTCATTTCCTTCCTTGACCAGCTTAAACTCCTTAGCCCATCTTAATCACTTCCTTAAAAATATTCCATTTTTTCCTTTAATATTATTTATTTGGAAAAATCCCATGCCTGGATGAATTCAACATGTCTAAAGTAGTTACACATTGCCACATAAACAAATCACAAAAAAGGGCTGACTGGTTTTATGTTAAATTCATGATTACAGTTCTCACATGTAATGTTACCTAGTGGCCCAATTTCCTTCTCTACTAAATTCGCTTTCTCACACTATAAAGCAACTATTTTAAAACCTTCTCCCTAGCACTTTGGGAGGCCAAGGCAGGTAGATCACTTGAGCTTAGGAGTTTAAGACCAGCTGGGCGACATGGTAAAACCCCATCTCTACCAAAAATACAAAAATTAGCTGGGCGTGGTGGCACATGTCTGGAATCCTGGCTACTCAGGAGGCTGAGGTAGGAGGATTTCTTGAGCCTGGGAGGCAGAGGTGGCAGTGAGCTGAGATCATGCCACTGCAGTCTAACCTGGGCAGCAAATTGAGGCCCTGTCTCGAAAAAATAAATAGAATAAAATAAAACGTTCTCTATTCTCCCACATTCCTTCTCCTTCCCCACACTCTCCATCCCATCTCAGGTGATGATTTTACTGTATAATTCATCAAGAAAAAAAATGGGAATTAATGATTTTTTCACTGCCAAATTTACAAACCTCCTTGCACAAACTGAAACTTCTTTTTTCTTCTTCTTATTTCAGAAGATAAAGTCTCACATTTTCCATCATAAACTCATTCGTCCACATATGTTCTGTGTCCCATCTCTTCCCTCTCATTTTTATTTTAAAAGACTCAAGTCTTTCCAGTTTAACATCCCCCCAAATTCCTCCCATAGTTCCACGTGGCCCTTCAGCTACCAAGCTAGTCTCTTCTTTACACCCAAACTTCTTGTAAGAGTTGTCTATATCCTCTTTCTCCACTGACTTCTTCATTTCCTATCAATTCTCAACTCTCTCTCTGACTTTTGCTGCCATGATGCATACAAAACTGCTCTTTAAGGGAACCAGAAATCAGAGGCAGATGATGCTGCCGAAGCTGGAGCTTCAGGATCCCTCACTTGTATGAACTATGAGCGTGGGACCCCTGTCAGTTTAGGACCCACAGTGTTTTAGGGAAGGGAAGCTGGACTGAAATCAGGAAGCACTTCTCACAAACTGCCTAAAGAAATTTCAGGAGGAAAGTGGACCCAAAATTCCAAACACTCTAGTATTTGCTGGGGAGAAGGAGATTTCTTTTATCATTCTAGACAAAAATTCACTTTTGTACTTAGTTTTATATTTGTAATTTTGTATTTCTTTTCTTTAAGAGGGCCTCAAAATTGTATGGTTCAGGCGGCCACAAAACCTTGATCTGTTCTTGCCAATGACTTCAGTTTCACTAAGCAACATTTTGTACACCTGGTTCCATCCTCCTTTTGTAGACTGATATATCCCTTGGCTTCGACAATTTCACCGTCTCCTGATTTTCTTCCAACCTGCTTGTCTTTCTCAGTATCCTTTGCTAGTTTTCAAGCTGTTTTCTTTGCTTCGAATCCCCTTCTTTCCTCACTTTGCCTTACTAATTCCTAGATATCCTCCAGGTCTCAGCTTAATTTTTATACTTCCTTAAAGCGCCTTTCTCTGATCTCTTGATAAAGTGAATCACTCTCATAGCACCTTGTATTCTTCATTCAGAAAAGCAATCAGAATCCCAGAGTTAATTATTTGTATTATCTGTTTCGTGACCCACTTGGACTGTGAGTTCATGAGTTTGGGGAATGTGTCTGTCTTAGCTACCACTATATCCCCAGTGCCTGGTATGTGGCAGACACTCAGTTAGTACAGGTTGGATAAATAAATATATCTGTCAATCCAAACCCATATATCCCAATGATCACACTTGAGGGAAACTATATCTAACCAAAGGGAAAAGGGATCACAGAAGTGTTTTGTAGCATAGTTACCACCTGGATGGATAGCTCTCTGGTCCTGCACCATGAGCAGACAGCCTCATAGTCTTCAACGAATGGTCACCTTTGCAGAGCCCCCATCAAGGCCTGAGTACTGTGTGCGTGCCCTTCTCTCCAAATTTCCATAGGCCTAGTTCAATGATAGACATTGCTTTCATCACTTTTTTTTTGGTAGGACTTATGGCTCAAACTATTTACTAGTCTCTACAATGAAAATGTCTAAAAATACCAAAGGCACCTTTTGTTAAGGAAAGAGGTAAGAAGAGCGGAAGGGAGGTGTAAGTACACAAAAACTTCTAAAGGGAAAGAAAACGAAGTTTGAAGATTGACACATAATTAATATGTTAGATCACTCTGCCGATTTAAAATATTTTACAATGTGGCTGGGCACGGTGACTCACACCTGTAATCTCAGCACTTTGGGAGGCTGAGGCGGGCAGATCACCTGAGGTCGGGAGTTTGAGACCAGGCTGACCAACATGGAGAAACCTCATCTCTACTAAAAATACAAAATTAGCCAGACGTGGTGGCACATTCCTGTAATCCCAGCTACTTAAGAGGTTGAGGCAGGAGAATCGCTTGAACCCAAGAGGCGGAGGTTGCAGCGAGCTGAGATCAAGCCATTGCACTCCAGCCTGGGCAACAAGAGTAAAGCTCCATCTCAAAAATGTAAATAAACAAATAATAAATGAATGAATAAAAATTTACAATGTTCTGAGGAAAGTAAAAATGCATTAGACATAGTTTGATTGGCATAGATAAATTCTATTGGTTTGCCTCTGGTGCCTCTCATTTAACTCTCCTCTCCTTTCCAGTTTTGTATACTACTGCCTGATTACTCCAATTAGGTCAAAAGCCTCCAAAGTCGTCCCTCTGCTACCAGTGTTAACACTCTCCGATCTACTCTCCATACTTTGTCCAGAGTAGCCAATCTAAAAGATTCCGACCAAGGCATTCCCTGACTTAGGCTCCTCCAGTTGTGGCTCAGGTATTTTATCATGGCTCATAAAGGCCTCACTCATGATCTTTCTCCCACTCATCTGAGCCAGTAGTCACAGGGCTTAGTCACTGTGTCCAGTGCCAATAGTCACTGGGCTTAGTCACCGTATCCAAGAAGTCAGGGGACTTACCTTCATCACAGTATCAAGCACAGTGCAATTTGCACCTTGTTTTCTGGGTTTCTGCTCTATAGTGAGATCCTTTAATATATAATAATAAATAATAACGGTGAAGTGACTACTTTCATTTGTTTAACAGACCAGGTGCCAGGCACTGTGTTGAGTGCTTTACAAACTTTAATCTCATTTCATCTTTACCACAACCTAATGAGAAAGTACTATTATTGGTATTCTTATAACAGATCATAACACTGGAGCCTAGAAAGGCTCATTTGTGCCCAAGCTTACATAGATAGGAAGTAGCAGATTCTAGATCCAAATCAAAATTTATATAACTCCAAAGCCTGCATTCTTTCCAGTATTTCATCATCTTACTATGAAGTAATTTAAAAAAAAAAAAAGCAGACAAAACTTCAAAGAGAAAAAATTATCCATATTATAGTAAAAAAGAAAAAGAAATCTATTCTTAATTAAAATTACCTAGGCAGGAGGAGACACAAGTATCTCAGCATTTGGGGGGAAAAAAAGCATTAATATGAGAAAGCCTGCAAGTGACCAAGAGCCCACACTGTTTTTCTTTCTCTTAGAAAAATGACAGAGGGCCCCAAGAGGAGAAGCCTACATTGCTCTTACATTGAAAGGTGTCTAAACTACTTATCCCCCAAAGACAGTCAAAATCTGACACTGCAGATTGTGCTAAACTTTCCTCCTCCACAGCTTTTAGAAACAAGTGTTGTGAGTAAGAGCTAAGTAACAATATATGAATACTGCGTCCTTTACACTTGTCAAGGGGAAAAAAAGATTTTCCCAAAATTTCACTCCTTTTCAAGCCTCCTTATCCCAACTCTGGACTTCCTTCACCTTCCCATGTCCATGTTGCCCCAAACTGAATAAAGCCCTCTAAATATTGTGCCTCTACCCAGGGCTTATTGACAGCTAAGTGATTTGTTCTGATTATAACCTAGAAGCATTCCTGTTAGCCATCGGGTGGCTCTTATAGAATCATCAGGGGCCCCATATCACCTAACCTCGATTATGATAGGTATTACCATGGTCTATTTTTTCTTTAGGCCCTAAAGAGCCCTGAATTCTCCCTCATGGAAGGTGGTTGCAATTTCTTTTCACAACAATATTCTACTTTTAAATTGGGCTCTCCCTAAAGCTAGCTATCCAATCTAATTTGATGTCAATACAAAATTTCAAGAAGACGTCTAGTGCTTTCTTATTCAACCCATTAGAAAACCTATCGACAGCTGATAGTGAACCACTGATAATAACTTTGTTTAAGTGAAAAGAACACCATAATCAATGTCTACCCATCAGCTCTGGTCCAAAGTGAATCACATTTTCCAGCGTCTTAATGATAATACAATATGTTAATTCAGCCAACAAAAAGTGACCGAGTTCTTTCCATGTGGCAGGCACTGTGCAGAGATGAAACAATTAGGAATTCTTAATGTGAACTCATACACCAATACATGCAGTAAAGCCAGAGACATGCTAAGATGGAAGTTTGTACAGGAAACAGTAGGGGACAAAAGATGATAAACTCTACCTCAGAGAGTTGCAAAAGTCTTCCCAGAGAATGTGAAATCCGGGGATGTGTCTTGAAAAGGAGTAGATGTAAGCCTGGTTGGGATTCCAATTACAGCAGTAAAGAGAGCCCCCACCCTACATTGTATCAAGCTTGAGAGTTTGCAAAATACTTTTTGATGAGTTGCTTGATTTAATCTGTCAAACACTTTGTGAGGTAAGGATTAGCATAACAGCCGTCTGAGCTGTGAAGACTCTTACTTGTAGATGATGATACTCAGGACCAGAGAGGGTAAATAATTTTTTAGAAGTCCAGCTATTAATAAATGGTAGCCAACCCTGAAATTTAATGCCAAATATAAGTAAAGCCTTAACAGCAATAGTAGGCTGGTGCCAACTTGTACTGGTCCAAGAGAGCCAACGGTCAAATATTCAAGAATTTTGAAAGCCTGTTGTCAAACCCTGGGTGGCTTGAAATCCCCACTACAGCAGAAGTATTGACCCCACAGAAACTGGCATATGCTACAAATCAGGCCTTTCTTTTCTTTCCTTCCTTTTTTTCTTTTTGGCTAGCCAGTTTACCAGCATCACACTGCTTATTAGTACCCCATAGGACTGTACTAAAAGCCATACCCACTTCTCTACGATTTAGAAGTCAAATGTTGGAAAGAAAAAATATGACTGAGTGATTATGCCATTGCAAAAAAAAAAATCGTAATCTTGCCAAATGAATTTTTCTGTCAAAATTATTTATGAAATTCTTACTTGTTCTATGTCTGGTCTTTGTGAGAAAGTAGATAAGGTTTAAGAACGCAGCCCCTACCTGTGATGGAAAATTCCAGTGTTTTCATAGTTGTAGATATTGACCCCCTGCCTTATTCATTTTTAGGTCATCCTTGTCACTTTTACAAATCCCAGTTCCACTTCTGTTCCCATGCTAACAGGGCATCACACCACCACTTATGCGAGCTCACAAAAATAACAGCTAGGAGCTCTGAGATGCTTTCTCATGTTTAAAAATCATAGATATTTGAAGCAACAGGGAATTTTATCCTATTCATCCAGTGTTCTAGGTTAGAAATCTTCAAACCCTGCATATTTGTAAAACTTCTGTTTATTTTAGGAACAACTACCTGAGCCCTTCCACATTTAATGTGGCATCTTTCCCTTCCTACCTTCCTAAAGTATTGTCTGCCTCAGCTGACCCAGTTTATAAGCCATTTTAACAGGTTTTTAAATAAACAGAAGCCCCTGAAAGGCAGATAAGTCAAACCAGGCTAATTTCCCAATTAAAGTATCTTAAAGGGAACTTGCAGTCATTTGGGGACCTGTACAATGTGCTACATTGTCAATTCACTTCTTCATTTTAAACAACCCCACCTCATACAAGCTTACTGCAGATCTCTTGAGAACTCCACAGATGCATATTTTAAATATCAGACATTTTTCTTTAAAACATCTGGGATTCTCTTCAAGTGCTGGTAACTGAGGTTTATGTACTGGTGTGTCTATGTAGGTGAGAGATATTTATAGATACTGAATTTGCCTTTAAAAAAAAAACATAATTTTTGTGCGCCTTGCTGTAATCTTTGCAGGCTCTGCAATCTTTACAAATGTCTTTGTAAAAACATTTGCTTTGAGCTTCTGTGAAGTACATTGGTATAATGCCATATATTCTAGGTTTAAGTGCAAAAAAAGAGAGTGCAAACAGCTTCTCAGAAATCAGATAATTATTCACAGTGTCTTTTGTTGCTGTTGTGTTGCTTTGTTTGTGTAATACCCTCTAAGCTACCAGTAATCTATTTGTTTCCAGAATTTAATTGGGACACACAATTTGGGAAGAGTTTACTATGAGCCCATTAAAGACCGACATGGAAACATACTCATCGTCACCATCAGGGAGGTGGAGATGCTTTATTCATTTTTTAATGGCAAATGGATGCAGATCTCAAAGCTACAAAGCCAGAGAAAATCTCTATCAACACCTGAGGAGCCAACAGCTTTAGACATTTTACTGATAACCATCCAGGTACGTAGTTTTTTCTTAATTCTCGAGTATATTTAAGATTCCAAACCCAATTATTGGGGGTCTAGTGCAATACAGCAAGAGCCATTTACATATGCAGTGATGGAATAGAGAGGGTCCAGAAACATGTTGCAAATGTAGAAGCTTATTTTTATTTATCACTTCCTAGATCCAGAATTCATTCAGCAAAATAGTGGGAACTCAGTAAAGCATTTTCATGCCCTGGCTAATGAGCCAATAAGAAACATTGAGGCCAGGCACAGTGGCTCATGCCTGTAATCCCAGCACTTTGGGAGACCGAGGCAAGTGGATAACTCAAGGTCAGGAGTTCAAGACCAGCCTAGCCAACATGGTAAATCCCCGTCTCTACTAAAAATATCAAAAAATAAATAAATATAGCTGGATGTAGTGGCACACGCCTATAATCCCAGCTACTTGGGAGGCTGAGGCAGGAGAATCGCTTGAACCTGGGAGGTGGGTTGCAGTGAGCCAACATTATGCCACTGCCCTCCAGTCTGGGCAACAGAGCAAGAACTCCATCTCAAAAAACAGAAAAGAAAAAAAAAAAGAAAAGAAACATTGAGATAAATAATTGAGTAAGGAATAGGGAATCTCTAGATAGTATAATCGAAACATTAAACCAATATCTGAGTAAACTGTAATAATACATTTCTAAATTGTATATATCTGTGCATGTGCATATGCGTGTATGTACAAAAACAGCTTTATACATATTTACTCCTGCATATTCCTTACAATACTCCCTTGGGACAGACAGGCATGATTAAGTCCATTTTAGGAATGAAATAAAGAGAGGCTGGGTGCAGTGACTCACACCTGTAATCCTAGCACTTTGGGAGGTCGAGGTCAGGGGTTCAAGACCAGCCTGGCCAACATGTCTCTACTAAAAATACAAAAATTAGCCGGGTGTGGTGGCAGGCACCTGTAATCCCAGCTACTCAGGAGGCTAGGACAAGAGAATTGCTTGAATCCAGGAAACGGAGGTTGCAGTGAGCTGAGATAGCACCACTGCACTGCAGCCTGGGCAACAGAGTGAGACTCTGTCTCAAAAAAAAAAAAAAAAAAAAAAAAAACAAAAAAAAAAAAAAAAAAAAAAAAAGAACAAATAACTAGAGCTCAAAGAAGTTAAATAACACAGGGCTGTACACAGAGGCAATTTAGTGAAACTAATGAAGCTGTGATGTCCTTCAGCCTTCCCTTGTACAAGCCCCTTCCAGGTCCTCTCAGAGACCCTAGCAATTGAGAGCTTTGTGTTGTTTTCCTTTAAAAAGACACCAGAAACTATATCCACTTGAGTTTTCACAAAACTCAGTTTTGTCCCTGGGCACACAGCTAGAAAATGGTAGAGCTGAGGCTTCAATTCAGATCTTCTGATGGGAAGCAGGTTTCTTTCTGCTACACTATAGTCACATTCTCAGGTAGAAGTCAGGATTTTAGTGAGTGAGGGACAGAAGATGAAATTAAGGATAAAAGACTTACCCGAATACAGAATAGTCACCAAAAGTCAAAATCCAAGTAGCTTAGATGCAGCCTTTGGCCTGGATGGTGGAACTGAGACACCAACCCATGTATGCTCCGGAGTCCAGCACACCCTCTCTGCCTCACACGTTCTTATGTGAACATGGGCTTCAAACTGTTGTTTTTTTTCTTTCTTTCTTTCTTTCTTTTTAAACCCAGTGATAGATATGAATTGTGTAGGACACTTCGGTTAGGTACAAAAGCTGGCAGGAACGTCTGCACTGAGTGCAGTGCAAGCAGTGGCATATCCACAGTCGCCAACCTGGAGTAAGGGAGAAGGGAAGACCCAGTTGCACAGAAACAACCCAAATATGAGCTTCTAACCCAGGAGCCATTCGTGGTCACCCTAAACAGCTAACTTACTTTCTAAGTTACTTTCATTCCCTGCCAAGGGGTGGCAAGTACAATAATCTCATTTTTTCATTACTTGTACTGGCCTAAACCAGGACAAAGGCCAGTGAAGCAAAGGTAAGCTAATTGGTCAAAGCCAATACCTCTGGATTTAATTTTATGGAATTTGGGTTCATAGGGAATTGACAGAGAGTATGTGCTTGTGTGAAGGAGGTGGCGGCAGGGAACACAGACACATTTGAGGCTCCCCTCTTCACCTTTTATAAGCAAGTGCTAAAAGAAACATTTAAAAAATCATAATAAATTGAGCTTTTACAGGGTGACTAATACACTAATCCCCTATAGGGATAAACTAGGGTCTGGGCTACCTTTGCTCCTAGAAACACAGTACAGGCCTCAGCATGATATAATACCTGGTTTCTCCTAGACTTATTACATTAAAAATGTGTTACAGGTGCAGAAAAATTCCAATCTGGTGAAAGGTTGTTAGAGAAGGAAACCAAAAATAGAGGCAGGATCGGGTTTCCACACAGATCCAAGTGGAAAATTTACCCCCGCTGACTGGCACATTCCCACTTGATGTCATTCCCACCCACCCGCCCCCCCTCCCCCTCCCCCTACTTCTTCTCTCTCCCCTCCTTCCCATACAAGTCTTACACTAGAGGTAATAAGGAATAAAACTACCAGGGCTGGTATCCAGTCCCTCCTAGACTTAAGATTTAATTATGTCAGGAGTTGGCCCCACCAACTCAACATAAAGGGAGAGAGAGGTCTTGGTGGCACCCAAAGCAGGCTGGTAATTCCCACAAGAACAGGCCACAGACCACTCTCTTTTTTCAGGGGCAGTGGAATCATGACCACCGAGCCTTCTCATTGGAGGCCTGGGCTTCTTTTTGCGGCATCACATCCCATTCTGGGCACCACTTTGAAGTGAGGATGACTGGGTGTGAATCCCAGCTCCACCCTTTCTGGTTATATGTCCCGGACACGATTTAACTTTTTCATCCTTCATATTTCCTCCTCCGCAAAAATGAAGATAAGTGAGTTAGTATGTAAAGGATTAAAAGAGTAGCATAAAGTAGTGCTCAATAAATATTAGTGATTTTTATTATGTCTCAGAAAATTTCTTTTCACATTTTTAAATTTTAAGTTCCAGGGTACATGTGCAGGATGTGCAGGTTTGTTACATAGGTGTGCCATGGTGACCTGCTGTACCTATCAGCCCATCACCTAGATATTAAGCCCAGCATGTATTAGCTATTTTTCCTGATGTTCTTGTTCTCCCACCCCCTTAACCCTACCCATAGGCCCCAGTGTGTATTGTTCCTCTCCCTGTGTCCATGTGTTCTCATTTTTCAGCTCCCACTTATAAGTGAGAACATGTGGGGTTTTGTTTTCTGTTCCTGCATTAGTTTGCTGAGGATAATAGCTTCCAGCTCCATCCATATCCCTGCAAAGGACATGATCTCATTCCTTTTTATGGCTGCATAGTATTCCCTGGTATATATGTACCACATTTTCTTTATCCAGTCTATTATTGATGGGCATTTGGGTTGATTCCATGTCTTTTCTATGGTAAATAGTACTACAGTGAACATACATGTACATATATCTTTATAACAGAATGATTTATATTCTTCTGAGTATATACCCAGTAGTGGGATTGCTGGGTCAAATACTATTTCTGATTCTATGTCTTTGAGGAATGGCTACACTGTCTGCCACAATGGCTGAACTAATTATATTCCCACCAACAGTATAAAAGTGTTCCTATTTCTCCGCAGCCTTGCCAGCATCTGTTGTTTCTTGACTTTTTATTAATAATAATCACCATTCATGTCTCAGAAAATTTCAAGCAATGCTAGGCTGCCCTCAGGACACACTCAGTCCACGGAGACTCTGGTAATAGCCTATTCATCCCATGGGGCATTTCATCACAACGAAGGAAAAGCTGTTTAAAAGTTATGTTCCACAATGGGGTTTTCAAAACAGATAAGGGCTTTAACAAAATCTGGGCCCGTAGCTAATTTACTAATTTCTAGGGCCCCAGAGAAACTCGTATCTAACTCCCTCAAATTCCTGACCTTCTCAAATCCCAGGCCTTCAAAACAGGCCTCTCTCATTTATCTGTGAAGGAGAAAAAAATCCTCCTCACCCTTACCTGGGAAGGAAAAGAGAGTTATGGTGGACAAGAGTCCCAAGAGCAAACTAATTGGCAATGAGAGTATTTCCAACAGAGAGACCCCTCTCAGGTGCTGAGTTATTATGACCGTTCTCTTCAGGAGTCCCTTCAGTCCTGTGAAGCCTCACATCCAAGCTTTTTCCTGAAGCTTCACCTCTCCCATGTGTACCATATATTCAGCTCTCTAACACTTTGTCACATCTGTGATATCATTTGATCCTCATTGCAAACCCAATGAGGGTGAGTGAGTAATTTTGTGTCCTGTTTGCAGAAGAAGCCATGCATTTCAAGGAACTATGTTGTCAAGGTCATATCAACCAGAAGAGGGACCAAACCCACAACTTTTGGCTCCTAGGCTGATGGCCGTCCCATTCCACCATGCTGCAGTACACACCTTCCCCTCCTGTTCTCTGCATCCTTTGTGATCCTCGTGAAGCTGTGGTGAAGCGTGTCTTCTCCTCCTTCTCATCCCTGCTTTCCTGTTCTTCTCCTTAGGCATTCCTTGTCACCTCCAGTGTCTTCTTCTTACACTTTACATGCCCAGGGCCTCTTCTGCCTTTTTCTGCTTTTTTTCTGGCACATTCCTACTCTTTCTACCCCTAAGCAGCTTCAAACACAAGGATCAAAAACCACAGGAATCAGAAAGATTGATGGAAATGAGCCAATTGAGCGGGACTTAGGAAACAATTGGGTTCATGTAAAAACTTCAGTGTTCACAGAAGCATTATTCACAATAGCCAAACAGTAGAAGTAAACTAAATGCCAAACAACTGATGAATGAGTAAACAAACTGTGGTATATCCATATAATGGAATATTATTCAGCCATTAAAATGAATAACCTATGACCCATGCTGCAACATGGAAACCTTGAAAATATAATGCTGAGTGAAAGAAGCCAGACACAAAATGCTAAATGTTGTATGATTCCA